GCTGATGAGATCATTCATCAAACTTCCAGCTCCAGCTGGAAACATGAGACGAGCGGGTGAAATGAGTTGCCATTGTTGATTGAGAGCTGCCTGCCGAGACAACAGAAACACATTCGCCTCCAGTTGGAGACTCTTTTTGTTTTGCCTGCCTGCTTTTTTTTCACTCCAGTGTGTGGCTCCCAACGCTTGACTTTGACTGCTTAATTATGGCAGTCAACGGTGGCTGCAACAACAACAACAACAACAACAGCAGCTGCAGCAGAGGCATCAAATAACTGCTTTAGCTCTAAAGAGCTCTACTGAGCCTTGAATGGCTTATGAATGTTTATTTATCACATCTTGGCTAAGAGTCAATTATATTGAGTTTCCGAAGCTTGGGAAAAAATAGGCACGTTAATTATTGCTATGATCATCATTTGAGGGAGTAATATTCAAAGGTACTTGATTTTTTTAAAGCACGTATCTGGCGCTCAAAAGCCAATTATGTAAGAGCAAAGATTTGGTAACTGAAAAATTGCTTGATTAGATATAGTGAATGCATTTCAGATTAAATCTTAGCAGCCAGTAGTTTGAATCGATTTAGTGTATGTATTCTAGAGTAAACCTTTGCAGGAGCTGGTCGTTCAGTAGAACAGTTAATGATATTAGAAATCAAATTTTAATTCTTACAGCATATGTATATGAAAAAAAGAGATTTTTCTTTGTCCTTGCATCTTAGACAGAAACCAGAATATAGGCTATATAATATATAACCAGAAAGTCTTAAGAAATAACAAATATTTTCATGGAAATACTTCCTTTTATAGCCATTCGTAATATTCATCAACTGGTTGTTGTAATTTAATAAATAATATTTTACAAAATTTAAGAATAAAGCTAAGCTAATATTTTATTATATCAATAAACATTGTACAAGACATCGTCATCAATATTTTCATTTATACTCTCACATATTTAATGCCTGCAATAGAAAAACTTTGTATTCACAAGAAAGAATTCCGTATTGCTGTGGAGCATAATCTATGAAGGGTAATATTTTTGGCAAAAATGAAAGTCGAGCTGAAATGCAATACAGTTCATATATAAATATGTTTCAATATAATTCACTTAAGAATTAGTATTTTTAGCCTATTTCCTACTATATAATACTTTCCATCAATTAGACATTCCTAGCTCAGTCAGTGTCTAAGCAGATTTGGTGTACATATAATGTTTACATTTCATCATGATTTCAGTTTCAGTTCAATTCGTGCTTAAAGCCCATTTAAAATCACTTATACTCTGGCACATTCAGTGCTCTTTAGTTTCAATCAAGTCGGATTAGGCTAGCCACACACATTTGCTCCACTTCGAGGCACATGGCACACCGCTCACCCACACATTGGACGCAGCTCGAATGCCTGGCGAATGCTAGGAGTGGAAATCTAATCGCAACAATGATTTCCTTGGCTTATGGCTATTTGCGTTGAGCATGGGAAAATCAATATGCAGTTGGCCAGGAAAATGTCTGAGCTGTCTGTTCGGCTGAGGCTGTGACTGAGACTAAGACTGAGACTGGGTCGAGTGCGCTGCATAGAGGGACTTACGTGAAGCGAGCTGAGAATGAGCTGGACATGGACCATAAGTCATCCGCATTGATAGCCATCAATCGCAGGCCGTTTTCCGTTTACGCGGCGCGAAGTGTAACTACAATTAGTCGGGGGCTGCAGAGACGGAGCGCTCTGTTGGCCAAGTTGCCTTTTGGCTAACACATATGAAAATCTGTTTTGTGGGCTCGTTACTCCAACGCATTTTCCAAAACTTGGTCATTTTTCTTAGACACTGCACACCATGTGCAGGCGGCTGCCTAGGTAACCGCAGACTCGGCTCCCCCAGTTCCCGCTGCCGCTTGTCCCCCTCCTCTGCCAACGTCACTTTGCCAGTTTGTCAGTTTGTCAGTTTGGAGCTCTGTTCGGGTCTCGTTGTCTTGTGCTTGTGCTGCTCAGAAGTCTGCGGCTCGTTGAACCTTTTTAACCGTTGCTTGGTCAAGACTTGTTAACCATATTAAAGTGTTCAATGATTAATTACACGCGTCCAAGATTAATTGAAATCAATCAAAGCTGAAGTTAACTAATGGCAACACGTTTGTAATCTCTTCCCCCGGCCCTGCCCTAGCAGTGTCTCCCCCCACCCTCCCTCTCATTCGTGTGCTCGCCTGGAATTTCATGCACGACTCGTACTCCCTGGCCAACACATTCGTTTTCATAGCCATTTTATTGGCCACATATGTATCTAGTCGGCTCTCTTCTAGCTTCGATTCCCATGCTTAATTACCATTAGAGGTCTGTGGGTTAGGCGTCTAATAGCTCTCGGTATGGCTTTGAGTAGATGCCTTGGCTATATTTCAACAAAAAGTAAAAGTTTCAACTGAATACTCTTAAATTTATAGATATAAATGTATATAAAGGGATTGAAATTCACTCTATGCATGATAGGAAGTTTCAAAGGTTTTTGACTGGAGCATATTTTGGGGCATATACGATGACATATCAAGGTAGCTCTAACCTATCCGCTTATTATTTTATTTAATTTTACTTACGATGATGATTACATCTATTGCTCGACCTATTACTCGCAGTGAGAATCCTTTCTTACATATATGTATTTGATAAAAATCTCAATTATTGCTTATGGGTATATGTAAAATTATTTCGCTGAAGCTCTTTCTCTCTCTTTCTCTCTTCCTCTCTTCCTCTCTCTTTTTACGTACACAATAACCGCAATGTAACACGTGTTCCACGCACAAAAGCCTAAGCTCCAAAATCCTGTACTAATTAAATTTAATATTTTTTAGCTTAATCATGTGACACACACACACACATACTAAGGTACAATCGGATGAGGGCAAGGCAATATCAATTGGCTGACAGTATGGTAAATTATGGATGATGCCCATGGGGCGACAATCCGCATATCGGTTACCATGTGCCCGCACAGCGCACACGTGACACAGGAGCAGCGAGTGGCGTGCGCATCCTGGCCGAGTCCTGTGGCAGCCATAACCGATTCGCTTCCTTCCGCCAGCACACCTCGGCACAAAAGGCGTCGCAGATGAGCGAGAGGCGAGCGGAAGCAGTCGGAGGACACGTTACCGCCAGGACCCCGCACCCGCTACCCCTTTCTCGTCGGTGGCTCAAACCCACATGTGGTTAATTATAATTACGCAATTTTAATATCAAAACAAGCCACGGCACGAAAGTCAGGTTGCGGCTACTGGGCTTGGGGTTCAGGCTGAGCTCAGACCTTTAACTAACTGCCCGGGCCGTAGTTGAGGGTTGTTGTTGGCGTTGAAAAGGCGCAAAATGATGAATGAAATGGGACGATATTCAATGACAACAGCGACAAGCAACCCCCAATAGCACAAGGAAGTCGACAGGTTCGAGCCGACCACCCCCTGCTCACACCTCACGCATACTTTGAGCTTTGATTGAGCATATCCGGTGGGATTAATGTGGGGTAGATGCTTGCGGTTATTTATGCCCACAAGTCAACTCCTGCTACTCCTGCCTCGACCAGCCAACCGCAAAATATTAGCTTTTATGATATTGATAGAAGCCGATGTCTATTGACAATTAAACAATAGCCAAAACAGGGCCAGCGGCACGCCCATTCGCTTCATGTTGCCACAACAAGGCAGCAATATGACTACGAATCCGGGCACAAGCACCCATATGCCACACAGGGCAACTTGATAACCATCTAGAGCATATAGAACGCCCGAATTGACGCAGAAATTAATATGCGCGACTCAACTCGGGTTTGGGTTAGGGCTTGGCTCTTGCCGCTTGCGGTACTTTTATTTGCGTTGATTTTTATGTTTATTAGCGGGATTAATACGTCGTTAATCTAATCAGCAGATATTCGGCCCATTGATGGGCATAATTTGTGCGTGGCTCGGGCTTAACGCATATGCTGCGAATTTAATTGCCAAACTGTCTCTATTTGAGTGAACCAGATTGGCTGGGAATACAGGCAGCAATTGGGAATGGGAGCTTGACAATTGATATATATTTATATGTATATGCGAGGAAAGGGAATTGATATTGAAGATATCGAGTTTTCTCTGCAGAGAATATAGATTTGACTTTACAAGCTCTGTGTTCGGATCGATCAGACATGCAAATATATATCGAATATTTATAAATGTATGTATTAAGGGCAGGGGAAATGCGTATATGAAAATTGTCTATGTGTGTGTGTGTGGTTTAGGTCATTAGGGTTTAGCTCAAAGGTAATTTATGCGGAACACGCTGTTTACTTGAAGCAACAAACAAATTCATTTAAATACGTATTTTGTTTGGGGGAACCGCAGCTCGCAGTTGCTGGCAGAGCATCACAGAAATAACAAACAAAGGTGACAGACAGACACAGTCAGAGGGAGTAAGAGAGCTGGAGAGGGGGAGCTGAGAGCCAAAGGTCATCTAATATAAATTCAAATGATAATTATGACAATCGTACGTGATAATTGCAGAAAGACAGAGGACTCCCACTCACACAGAGACACACACACACACACACACACTCATGCATGCCCTCTCCAGCACTCTGGTTGATGGTCTGTCGTGTCTGCAAATGGTTTCTAAAAAAAACACAAAAAATAGAAGCTGCCGACTTGTGACAGCTCTGGAACATAAACAAACAGACGGCGGACAAAAATCAACTAATTAGCAGGCAGCGCGGCCGGGGACGGACTGCAGCCAGAGATTAATAAATAAATGGAGATTTGCTGTTATTTATTTTTAAACATATTCTGGAGCAGACACCGCGGCAACAGGCACGCACAGCCGAAACCGGGTCAGCTGCAGCCCACGGGCGAGGTCAAGTTTGGCCAGCCAAATGGAGAATTTCACTTTCGAGAGATCGAAACTCACTAATCTAATTAGCAGCTGCTATTTTCGTACACTAGATTGAGTAAAAAACACTTTCAACTTCGCTCAGTCTTCGTTTATTCAATGCACAGTTTAACCGTAGAAGGGACCTCCGAATCCGCCAAAGCCGCCATAGCCGCCATAGCGGTGTCCATAGCCGTAGCGACCAAAGCCGCCTCCATAACCTCCATAGCCTCCGTAGCCACCGTAGCGACCGAAGCCGCCATAGCCGCCATAAGGACCGCCAAAGCCTCCGAAGGGGTATCCGCCGAAGCCGAATTGACGCTTCTGACGCAGCTGCTCCTGCTCCTGGTCCTCGGCAAAGGCCAGCGATAGCAGGACTCCCAGAATGACGGCGAACAGGATAACGGCACGCATTTTAAGTTTTTGTTCTCGACTAACTTGTGTTTGAGACAAATTGAAAGATCGAACTGTGTCTAGACATTGGGCTAGTATACGCTTTTATAGGCTGCGATTCTATCGTTTATCGCCTCGATATTAATGAAATTCAAGAACAATCTACAAAGAATTCCCCCAAACTGTTTACCAAAAAATAAAAACAAGAAAAAACTTGTTTTTTACTTAACTCCACAACAACAATAATAAAAAATAATAATAAATAAATAAATAAAAACAAAAACAATCCACTTAATCTTTGCGGTTTTTTGTGATTTTAGTTTTGACAAGCATTGTGACGAAATAGATGAGTTCGAAAGAAAAAAACGAGTTTGAGCTCGATTTCGTTTTAAAGACAGTGCCCCAAGTCAATGAGCTGATATTTATATTTGATTTCTTTTCGGATTATGCAAACTAGCCCATAATCAAAAACACCAAATACATTCTAATGTGATAGATGTCTATATATACATATATAAAATATATATGGTATATATGGTATATATAGATATCTAGATCTTTTTTTGGTTGGTAATTTTAGGGGATTTTTTTGTAAGTTGTCGGGTGGTAATTTCTCAACTGTCAATAGGCATGATATATATTATTTAATTAACTAAATTTGTTATATACTAATGTATATTAATGTACAGAGCTGAGAAGTTTCCATTCTGATATCATTTTATTGATTGTTAACCGATTCTGAGGCAGCTTTGTCCCCGTTTACGCCAAGCCCCTAACCCGTTCTTCGAATATTAAGTTTCGTAAATGTAAATAAGTTCGAATACTGTTTAAAATATATATGACATTGATTGGCGCTATAAATAATAATCGAATGGAAATTTCTAAGCAAATTTTATGTGCACAGTTTATTCAAATTCGGGTGGAGAATCATCTAGCAAAACAGATCTGGGACAAAGGCCATTTCATATGGATATTGCGGGCAGTTTTAACTGACGTCATTGGGTAGCTCGAATAGATTGAAAACTATGGATTTAAAAAAATAAAATAAATAAGTAAAATAAAAAAATTAATAATAATATTAAAAATAATAAATTAAAAGTTTTTGGAAAATATTTTAAATTATTTAATTTAATTTATTTAATTTTTTCATTCAACTAGAAATATGTATATTAATTAATAATCATATTAAAATAGAATTTAAAGTGCTGAACAAACGTTCTTGAGCTTTCATAAATAGTGCTAATTAATAGAATAGAGCATATGCTATAAAATCTCTGCTTCTTCAAATCAAACAGGTGTGAACTGTTGTTGCTCTTTAAGTTTTATTGCGGAAGCTGGACAGTTGTTGTGCTGGGGAGGTAAAAACAAATTTATGTTTATCGCTGGAAATGCCCAGAATGATCAATGATAAGGCGGCAAGCAAAAGCATATTGGATTACCACAACTATAAGAAGAAGAAGGAAATTAAAGAAACCCCAATGAGCTTTAAAAGTTGTTTGCTTTCCAATTTGGTTCTGATCTGCTTTGATCTTTAATATTGTTTTATTTTTTTTTCTCATTATTTTTTGTTTTTTTCTTCGGTTTCGAGTTGTGAGTAGGCAAATAAAACTTCGAGCATGTAGTACAATCGAATTCGCGCCATAAATCAGCAAATGTTGGCGCGACGCAGCGGAAGCATCGATCGATTGTATTGTCAACGGAGCGACAGAGCAGATCGTCATCATTATATTATCATCATGATCGTGCACATTAACAGCGTCTGGCTCCGACTCGCTGTGGCTTCCAAGTTCCACCCAGTGGCACATGTGCGCCGCAGACTTCGTTGGCTTCGACAACGCAATTTTCTTCTGGAGAGTTTTCACTTCGATTTCCAATACATATATGTATATATATATATATATATATATATATGTATGTGTGCCTGTGTGTGTGTTGTCATGTGATTTAAGGGTACCCGTAAATCACGACGCTTGTCTAATTTCGTCTCGCTTGAAATTCTCCGCATACTTGCCAGCTCAATGGAATTATTTCTTCATTTCGAGCCTGTCAAGTGCCTCCAGCACTCTGTCCCACATTTTCGCACATTCTGCCATACTCTCTCTCTCTCTTTCTCTCTATCTGCCTCCCTGTGTGTCTTTCCATGTATGTATGTATATCGATGCGGCTTGGTTTTTGCGCATCATTTATCGCATCTTTATCTGTCGACTGCATTTGTATCTGTAACTGCATCTTCATCTGTGTCTGTGTCTGTGTCTGTGTCTGTGTCTGATCGCTGATCGTACAACTGTTAGTTACTTACTTTGCATGCTCAAAGCTCCACCACTCAACCCTGCCGCTCCGTCGACAGTTGCCTCATTCAGTACCAGCGGGCGATCGATGATGTGTGTTTTGCCAATCCTCGATCGAGCATAACATTTACGGACATATCAGCCAGCTCAAGTCGCACACTAACTCTGGTGCATGTACAAGTTGTTGTTGCTGTCTCGTTGATATTACCAAGCGATCGCTGGTTGATCGTCGAGTAAGCTGACAGAGCTACCAACTTGCTTGGACAAGTTCTTCGACAACTGCGACAAACTACGGCACAGAAACGAAAAGCGAAAGTAGTTGAAGCCTCAATAGAGCTACCAAGTGATTACCCAATCACTCAAATATTTTGAAGTTTTTGTTCTAGTAATAACAACATATAATATAATAATAGCTCCTCTGCATTACAGACACGATTATTCATGCATTTGGTTAGCTCGATGTTTACTGTTCGCTTTTACTCTGTCAATCTATGGTTAGTAACCTTCGCTGAACTCTATAAATATATAACTATTTATTACAGCAATCATACATGAACTATTTATGGCTTTGGCCACAGACAAGCTGTAAATTTGTGATTATTTTTCCCATGCGGATGGCGCCACTTGCCCGACACGCCCCACGGCCAAGCCCACAGAGAGCCGCACCTGAACAATAGGTGAAAATCCGAACCTGTCGTTACGCTGAAAGGGGCGCTGACAGGTAAAATGTCATGCGGACATCGAGCCATAAGCCATTTGGCATGTCATCAAAACAATGGGAGGTGCCTGAAATCACGCAATGCGCACTGAAATTGAAGTTCCTATTTCATATTCTATCACGGTTTGTTTGCATGCATGTGTATGGGTTCAAGTATTACCTTTCTTTGTGCGCTCTGTCGAGAGTTAATTTGGAAATGTCACGAGTTTGACAGCCATTCGAATGCGCTTTAACTAAGTTTTATGACTCCAATCATTTGATTACAGTTGGACTAGCTGACATTTCCGACTGTCAGTTACTAAGCAAATTAATTACCTTCAAGCACAACTAGTTCACGCTTGAACTTATTCTGACAGAGCTTGTATTTGTCTGAATTTCTTGGCAAGAGATTGAGGAACTCCCTGTACACTTTATTTGTATTTATTTACTTTTGAGTTTCTTTTTTGAACTAGCTCATTTTACACGATATTGTTCTACAGTGTACATGTATGAATTTTCCCGAAAATTCTTAGGAAAAATTCTTGTCATTTTCATTGCCTTTGTTCCATCTGAAATGAAGATTTATGCATATTCCTTTAGGTAAATGCGAATTGCAAACATTTCGATACGCAAATAAACAAAACTGCGAATGATTTGAATTTCGAATTTCGCTGCCTTTGTTCGATCGCAAACTTTAATTTGGAAATTTCGTTAGGATTATGGGGTAGATTTTCGCACATGCCCAACGCTGACCTACATGCACGCTCTACTTGGTCCGTCCACACAATAGACTCGATCCAGCGTCGGGCGCTGTGCCTCTCAGGTAACTCCTATGCAAACGCAGCTGGACACGAGCTGGACTCATTCCTTGGGTGGTTGTGCTGTAGATGCTATAAATCTCAACAGAAATGCATTTGGTGTGATTTTTGGGTCAGTTTTCGTGAGTCTGCGAATATTTGATGATCGGTTTCTTGTATGCAAAACAATTTTACAAATTTTTTAAGATAATCAAAGATTTTTTTGTGGGGTAACAAAATGTTTTCCGTTTTTTGTGTGCACGCAGTCATAATAAGGCGTAACGTGTTGTAAGGAATAGTCGCCAGGGTCGAAATAACCTCAATTAGGTCATGTTGACCTCTTGATTATGTGTTCTGGGAAAAAGAAAACTAAAGAATAATAGCAAGCCAATAAAAAATTGAATCATAAGGATTTCTGTACAATGTGTAGTATATGTACATAAGAGAATTGACAATATTTGATCAACTCCTAAAAAGTTTGCATTCAATTAAATTGGAGCATTATTGATATTCTTGTACCTCTATAGACTATCTCAGCGACCAGCTGAGTCATTTAGCACGCACGTCATCAAACACGTCATTTCAGAATCTATAAGAGCTCGAGACTTGAATTTTTCTTAATGTCCGTGTATACAGTGCGTATACAGTTTGCGTAACTAATCCACATGAAGAGTTGGCATACACACAAGGTTAATGGATATACTATACGGCGAGTGTCATATCATTCAGCTTCTGTCGTGCAATCTCATTGCTTTTGGCTTCTGTTATAAACTCAGACCACTCATATTTCTGTGAATCATATGTATTATATGATTATGTTTTCTCTTTCGTTAGCAAAGAGGATCAATTTTCCACAAGCTTCATATGATTTAGTCTTTGGCATTAATGTACCTTACATTGAGTCTTGTAGCATTCAGCTTTTGTCATGCAGCTGCCTTAACTAAAGTTGTAGCCTTAACTGAAGTTTTAAGCTTTGTTTTTGTCAAGAGTTGGACCACAGTCTATTCATGGTATTCATGGAGGTTTGCTTAGTTCCTAAACGAGCAAATTATGATCAATATTTCCACAAGTTATTGATGCACCTTCCAGTGAGGTTCGTAGCAATCAGCTTTTGTCATGCAGCTGCGTTGACTCTAGTTTTTGCCACATTAATTAAAAGAGATGTCACACATTTTCAGAGACATTTCAGAGGCCACATTATTTATTTAGCGAGTAATTACGATGAAGATTCTGTCTTTG